GGAACAGAGACGCTTTATGAGCGTCAGCTTGCATAGCAGAGGCCGAGGAGGCCCCGTCGGCGGGACTGGGGGCGGGAGAGGGCGGGTGGCCCACTCCAGGATAGGGGCGTGTGCCCTCCATCCACCCGTTTCTTCTGGAGGGGTCTCAACCGATGGCTGATGCCACCCACGGTGGTAGGGGTGGCTTTTGCTCTGTCCCCAGATGTAAGCGCTATTTTCTTTAGGAGATGCCCTCACAGACTCGCCTGGGAAGAGGTGAGCCAGCTCTCAGGGCCTCGCTCAGCTCGGTCAAGTGGACGCATAAAGTTAGCCATCACGGCTGCCATCAGGGCGGGGGCTTAAACCACATGCACCCCTTGGTCTCGGGGGCTCTGAGTTCATCCCCTAAGGCAGGGCCTCCACCCGGGCCTCCTGAATTGTCCATTCCTCACCCACAGCATTTCTCCACCACCACTTTATTCAACCAGCCGATCTTCACGTTGACCACAGACGACAGACCAGAAAAAATGTGAATGCACAGACACCTGAGATATTACTTGGTTTTGTCCTGACGTTCCCATGAGCACAGACGCGTCGAGTGTCCCAGGGTGGGGGTGTGGGGGTGTGTGCGAGGGCTGGATCCACCGTCCTGCCTCCATCACAGACACCCCAGCCCGGGACCCAAGCTGTCTCCAGCTCCTGTCGTTTGTCCTGTGGTGACGTGTGCGGGGGCCGGCAGTGCGCACAGGGCCAGCCTGGACACACAGAGGTTGGGAGCTCCCGCGTCGTCGTCGTGAGGCCGGGGAGCAAACAGTCCGGAGACCACACGGCCCTCCCCGAGGCCTCGTCCCCTCGGCAGGGCTGAGCTCCCAGGGCAGCACAGACCATCGTCACAGGGTGTCGGCCACAGCCGCCTGATGGGAGCCCCGCCCCCGCCCCGTCCCTCCTTGGAATCCAGAGAGACTGTTCTGGGCCGGACGGTCAGAGCAGCTTTGGCTGAGCCTTTGTCGTGTATGTGGTCCTTGAGCTGGAAGAGAAGAGAGACCTACTTTCGTCACCCTCAAGGCTGTTTGTCATTTTAATACAGGTGACACGTGTCCTGGCACCATCGGCACCACCTGGTGATAACTGTAATTACAGGTGACGGTGCACAGTTGCTGCTGAAGGAGCTCCCCTCATGTGCCTGGCATCAGTCCTGCATCGTCACAGAACACCCAGGAGACCCTGCGCCACCTGCACGGCACAGGAGGGCAGCTGCGCGGTCTCATGGCCAGCACCCCAGAGCAGGCATTGAACTTCATGGAAAGGCAGGCCTCCTTCAACTTAAAAGTTTACAATCATGGGGCTCCTGGGGGGCTCAGTCAGTTAAGCGTCCGACTTCAGCTCAGGTCATGATCGCGTGGTTTGTGGGTTCAAGCCCTGTGTTGGGCCCTGTGCTGACAGCTCAGAGCCTGGAGCCTGCTTCTGATTCTTTGTCTCCTTCTCTCTCTGCTCCTCCTTGCTCACATTCTGTCTCTCAATAAATAAACGTTTAAAATTAAAAAAAAAAAAAGTTTACATTCTTTTTAGTGCATCGTCTGTATACATGATCTTGTAAGCCCCTCGCAGTCAAGATAGAACATCCCACGGCTGTCATCAAGTCCCCGTGCCCGAGGTGGTGACACTCCACCCGCCCTCCCGCTGACCTGTCTGCTGGCCTGTGCTGACCCCTCCTTGGAACAGCATAAAAACGGGGGCGTGCCGTCGGTAGTTTGTGAAGATGGCTTCCTTCACTTGCTCCGATGCACTCGAGGTTCAGGCCCCTGGTGCACACGCTGGCACTTTGGGCTGCGGAGTGCTGAGTGGGATTCCACGGTGTATAATTTGTTCCTTCGATTTATGAGTTCACCGCGTTAGGGATACTTGTGTTGTCTCCATCATTTGGTGACTGTTATCAAAGCTGACAAGAACATTCGTGTGCAGGTTTTGCGTGTAAATGGTGGTTTTTACTTCCCTTGGGTAAGTGCCCGGGAGGCATGGATTGCTGGGTGGGGCAGTAAGCGTGGGTTTAACTTTATGGGAAACTGCCAAACAGAGAAAACGTTCTTTTACAGTTTGTACATCTTAGTGCTCACTCACCACACCGTTCGGGGCGGGCGCTCTCATTACTCGCTCTCCGTGTGAGGGCACAAAACCCCCCGGCCAGGCAGCTGCCCAGGGCGCACACCGGCTAGGCAGCAGATCTCAGGAACTGGGGCTCAGCCCTTGGCCCCGTGTAATAGCATCTCTGCCCACTGACGTCTGTCTGTCTGTCCTCACGCTGGCTTCCTCTGCTTTCCCTCCTAACGCAGGCCGGCCTGGGCCCGCCTTCCCTAGGCACCTTGCTGTCAGCGTGCCCATCAGCCCGAGCCCTGCTGGGGCCTGGCCTTGATCTTTCCTCTGATGGCGGCCTCAGGCCCAAGAGCTGCAGATGCATAGGGCTGCTGCCCAGGGGCCGGGCACTGACGAGAGGCCCTCCTTGCTTGTGTCAGTCAGAGCCCCCAGAGGATGCATCTGGAGAAATCACTCTTTTGCACAGGTAGCGAAGGGTGTGGACTCTGATGCCGGGCACTTCTAGCTCCAACTTACTGCTGCATGTCCTCAGGGAAATGATATAATCTTGGCCTCAGTTTCCCTATCTGTAAAAGAGACACTGATAGATACTTATCGCATGGGCTTATTGGGAGAGCCTAGTGATTTATGCACAATGCTTCACGTGCTACCTGATGCTCATGAATTCTTCAATAGTCTCTGCTGGGTGGGTCTGGGAGGACGGGAGCGACACCGAGGCTGCCTAGCTGAAATAGAAGGCGTTAAATCGGGAGATGGGCTGCAGGTAAGCCCACTGTCACAGAGAAAGGTGGACCTCGGGGAGGGACAGAAGGCACAACAGAAAGAGAAAGCAGCTGTGACCTAGGAACAGTTAACATTCTCTTAACCATAAACGCGAGGGGGGCCATACAGGCACCTGTCCTGTTTGAGGAGACCCCCCCAAATAAGGATTCATTGTCCTGAGCTGATTGAGGAAAACCCCTAAAGGTTTAATGGAGCCAAGAGGCCACCATTATGATTATGGTGGTGGTTTTAATGTGTCAATTTGACCGGGCACCCAGATATTTGGATTGTTCTGGGCGTGTCTGTGAGGGTGTTACTGGAAGAGAGTAACATCTAAAGTGGATGGAGTGAAGCAGATTGTTCTCACCCAGATGTGGGTGAGCCTCACCCACTCAGTGGAAGGTCTGGATAGAGCAAGAAAAGCTGAGCCTCCTCCTTGTAAGAGAAAACTTCTCCTGCCTGACTAGCTCCAAGTGGGGACATACGATTCCTTCCTGCCTTGGACTCAGGCTGAAATGTTGGCTCCTCCTGGGTCTGGAATCTGCTGGCCTTTGAACTGAAACTATACCGGGTCCTCAATGCCAGCCCCGGGCACCGCTGGCCGCTGCCTTTGCTGAGAGCAAACGGTTCCATCAGGAAACCTTCAGGGAGGAACGACCGGGAAGAAAGGAAGGGAAATACTTTCGGTGCAAACCCCAGTTCGGCTCCTCCAGATCTTGTTCGGCTTTCGTCTGGGCCCATGGCAGCGGGAGGGGTGCAGGCCTGGGCAGCACCCCTCACCCCAGCACCAAGGGTCTGAGGTGCTCTGGGCTCCACACTCAATGTTTCAGTAAAAAAAAAAAAAAAATGAAATCTCAGAAAAGTTAACAGAATAATGCAACCGATGCTGTATGTCTTTGCATTCAGCAGCTGATTTGTGCTCTTTCTCTCTGGACACACACACACACACGTGCACACATGCACATGAACATGCACACTGCCGGGGGCCGCACTGGCCTTTCTGGATGGCAGTCACAGCAAGGATATGGTAGTGTTTGCACAGCTCCTGCCATGAGAAACGAAAACTGGTATCTCCTTCTGCTACTACTGGCTCATGTTGGAAATAAGCCTGCTGGTATTGACCAGGCCTCACAATATTCCATATCAGACCCATATTCTGAACACAGATACCTCATAAGGAAAAGCATATTCCTGCCTTTTCAATAGATATTTTAGATGAAATCTCTTTGGATGATTGTCAAAAGGTTCTTCCTATGGGCCTTGCAGATCCAAGACTTAGATAATAAAGGGGGTTAAGAACACAAGAGTTACAACTGAGCCTGGCCCCAAGACAAAGAGCCTAATTTAAAGTTAAGGTACAGAGAAGGGCAGAACATAAGTTACTACATATATCTTTGCTTATTGGTGAAGCATAGCAGTCCCTTCCTCAAGGCCTACATTCCACAAACACCCTCCCTTACGCTGGCAGCTGGGATGAGGATAGATAAGAGCAGCTAAAACATAAACCCAGATGGAAAGACTGACACATTCAGGGCCCCCATGGTGCTTGCACATTCAGCATCAAGGAAAAGCCTCGCTCAAGCAACTTAGGAACAAGCTTAATATACATTCTTCCTCTTGTGATTAAAAATTGTCTAGAGGCCTACCCATGCAAAATAAGAGAAGTTTGTTAGTATCTTAATCTGGAGGACTGACGTCAAGAATATGGGGAGGTTCTGCAAGAATACTTTTGTAAAGCCTGTTTCTGTACACCTTCCGCTGATCAAAGCATCTTGTTACAAATAATTAGCCCCTGTAAAAATTCTGTCTTCTGATGTCATGTTATTGTTGAACCTTAAAATAGACGCCAAAACCGACAGGACAGAGATGCCTGCCTGGTGATCAGAAAGAATCTCGGGGCTCTCTCACTCTCTCTCTTGCCGACACTGTCCATCCTTCAGGGACCCCTGGACCTGCCGGAGCCGGCCTCTGACAGCACACGAACATGCACACATGCACATGCACACACATGCACATGAACATGCGCACACATGCACACGCACATGCACGCATGCACACACACACACAAATGCACACAAAAACAAACATAGAGTAACACACACTCAAACACACACACTAACACTCACATTCAAAAATTTTTACTGAATCACTTCAAGGTATTTCAAATGTTTTCAAATATTCTTAAAATAATGTCAGATCATTGATTCCATAGTATCAATAATAAATAGTTCATGTTCAACTGCCCCCAAAGTTTCTCCTGTGGCTTTTTCTTTACCCAGAATCCAGTTAAGGTTTCCATCAGGCTCTCGGGCTTCCTCGGTCCACCCGATGTTCTGAGGCGTCTCTGTCGGAAGGTGCAGGTCTCCTCACAGGGATGGGGATGAGCCTCCCCACAAGAGCTCTGCACAGCTGGGAGGACTTCCCGCACCCACACCGGAGGGCTCGTGGGGAGGGACGGGGGTGGGCCTCCATGCAGGGGAGCAGGTGTCCATGGAGGACAGGTGTCCGTAGGGGGCAGGTGTCCGTGGGGGCAGGTGTCTGTGGGGGGCAGGTGTCCATGGGGGACAGGTGTCCATGGGACACAGGTGTCCGTGTGGGGCAAGTGTCCATGGGGGACAGGTGTCCGTGTGGGGCAGGTGTCTGTGTGGGGCAGGTGTCCGTGGGGGACAGGTGTCCATGGGGCACAGGTGTCCGTGTGGGGCAGGTGTCTGTGGGGGATAGGTGTCAGTGCAGGGGGCAGGTGGCCTCCTCGAGGTCCAGAAGCAGGTCCCACTGGGAGTGGTCAGGGTGTGCGTGGGAGTGGGACCCAGAACAGGGACCTCAGCTAAAGCCCGCTAAGGAAGCCAGGGGACAGGATGGCCCTCGTGGGAGCAACATGTCACTGGACAGAAAGACCCCGAGGGGCGGGCTGTCACTTGGGAAACGGTGGCATCCTGCAGTGCCTGTGCTCCGGTCACACCGAGGGCAGAGGCTGGGGGATGGGGCCAGGAGCCATATCTCCCCACGCTGGTGTCCGGGTCCCCAGGAGGGCTTGCAATGCACAGGGTGTGTGTGGACTCAGCTGCGAGGAGCCGCGGAGACCGGGGGGCACACCACCTTCACCTGGGAGTAGATGACAGACGAGCCCTGGGGGTCGGGAGGCCAGTAGCCGGCGGCCTGGCAGCGGGAAGGCAGGTGGGTCCAGAGGAGCCCTAGCGCGGACTCTGAGTTTGCTGTGGGAGGAAGAGCAGCGCTCAGCTGGGAAAGGAGGCCGCACCCCAGCCCTAGGTCCCTGTGTCCTGTCCCATCCTGGGGCCTTTCCCCACTCAGGTGGCAGGCACTCTGTTCCCCACGGACCCCCTTCTGAGCCCTTGGCCTCTGCCTGGGCCCGGCCCCTCCTCGGCCTCCCTTCCCTCTTGTTCCCATGCGGCTCCCTGGGCCTCCGAGAGCCAGAATTGACCTCTAATCTCATCAGTGCTTTGAGCACAGACCTCTGACCGAGCAGGGGCCGTGTCCCTCTGTGGCCTCAGGGAGGTCACTGCGCCTTCTGACCTGGTGGTCTCATCCATATGGTGGGAGGGATAACGTCACGCACCTCTAGGGTTACTGCAAAGTTACATGAACTCATGTGTGTGCGGACCTTCCAGTGTCTGTCATATGTTGTGTGGTGGGGGCTCAGTTGGTTAAGCTTCAGACTTCAGCTCAGGTCATGACCTCATGGTTTGTGAGTTTGAGCCCCACGTCGGGCTCTGTGCTGACAGCTCAGAGCCTGGAGCTGCTTCGGATCCTGTGTCTCCCCTCTCTCTTTGCCCCTCCCCACTCACGCTGCCTCTCTCTCTCTCTCAAGAATAAGTAACATTAAAAAAAATTAAAAGAAAAAAAAAAGATTAAGGGCCTATAAATGGGGAGATAGCCCTGCATTATCCAGGTGAGATTTTAAGAACTTCAAATCAGAGAACGTTTCCTGGCTGCTCTCAGAGGCAGACCTGACTTGGGACAAACAGTCAGAGAGATGAAGCAATGCCAGCTCTGAAGACGGAGGAGGGGGTGTCCTTGAGAAGCTGGAAAAGGCAAAGGAAGACTCTCTCCCCTGGGGCCTCCAGAGAGGAGCACAGCCCAGGGAGACGTGGGTCTGACTTCTCCCCTCAGTCATTGCACCCCCTTCCTCCGAGCTGTAGCCATTCGCCATGGCAGCAGTAGGAATGGGACAGAGGTGGGACGGGACGGCAGCGCTGTGTCCCATGACAGCTGGGGTGCAGGAGCCCTGACGGCCTCAGTGGCCCGCCGCCATCCTGAGGTGTTGGCGGTGAATGGTGGGAGCGGCACCGTACGGTGGGCCTGGGGACCCCAGCAGGCAGGCGGGCGCAAGGGCACGAGCCCAGCGACCCCGTTGAGGGCGGCTCTGCATTCCGACCGCCCCTGACCTGACCGACAGCCAGCGCTGTCAAAGTTCAGTGTCCACAGGTCTTACCTGCAGGTCTGTCCCCCTGCGGACCCCTCCGGACCTCCGAGTACACCACTTCTCCTCCTCTATGGTTCACTGCAAAGAAACTGCAGTTTGAGAGACTGTACGGCTCTTGTGTCTTGTCTGAGTTACTTCCTCGTCCCCCAGCTGGAGTCCCCTCTCTGCAGGACACGCGCCCTCCGGGCAGGCGCACGGTCCCTTGTCATCTCCTGCCCCGCCCCTGCGGACCAGTCCCAGGCTCCCTGCCCACACGGTGCTCACCATTGCTGTACACTGGCTGCAGTTCCATCCAGGCTGGGACATTGTGGTAGGTGGGCTCTCGGACGTCTGAGTCTGAAGGGCTCCTGTGGGACAGAAGCAGCCGTGTCTCCCAGTAACCCTGACGAAGGAGCTAATGTAATAATCACGCCCTGTTGGCAGGTCTTCGCCAAGCTCAGAGACATAGATGAATGCATCCCAGATGGTCTGCTGCTATGGCAAATCACGGTATGTTTCCAGACGTTGTGGCACCTGGCATGTACCAGGCACTGGGCTAATGCTTATAACAATGTTAGGGGGATTCTATTATTATTCCTCCTCTATAGATGGAGAAAATGGTGGTTCCAAGAGTTAAACTGACTTGTTCAAGACCATGTAACTAGAAAGGGGAAGAGCCAGGATCTGAACCTGGCTCCAAAGCCTCCACTCTTGGAGAGATTCAGATCGCACAGAGATCAGTCATGATGAGGAGTGGGAGGAACCTGCGTGGGTGGGGTGCTGCCGCCATGGCCTTGCCCAGAGATGGTTTGTGGGCTAAGGTGTGGCTCCCGAGGTCAGACTCTGGGACCCAAGACGGCAGAGCTTCTTCACAGGCACCACATCTGGCTGGTGAGCGGCCTCTCTGGAGGGCCAAGTCGTGTGACTAAACCTTCTTGGCTGTGCCCACAGCAGGTGTTGGTTTGGCTCCTCATGTGCGGAGCTTTCCAGGCTGGCTGAGCTTAGGGCATGGATGGATCCAGTGCTGACAGCGGTCACTCAGACAACCAAGGCAACAATGGTGCAGGGTGCAAGTTAATAAATAAACAGGAATTGGCACCTGATGCCAGAAGGCCCGCGTAGCTAAGGTAGCAGTGAGGGGTCCCAGGAATTGCCCTGACAGATGCCAAGGGAGACCGCAGCGCACAGATGGCATGACCCGTCTGTCCTCAGTGGTAACCAGACCGGGTTCACTCTGATCCCCTGCGGGCACCTCCCAGAACACACGGGACCATAGCCTGGGTCTTACCTGGAGGGGTCAGAGGTAGGCCTTCCTCCTGCAAAGGAAAGCAGACATTGGAGCCACAGGAGAAGGAGGCCTTGACCAGAGGGACGGCTGCAGGGAGGGGCAGGCGCTAAAAGTGGACCCTTCTCTGCTATGCCCGAGGGAGATGGCAGATGGCATGGAAATGCCTGACCCTGGCTCCCAGAGGGACAGAGTTGCAACATGAAAGAGGATCCCGTAAAGAGCAGTGGCGGACAGCTGCTGGGGGAAGCCGACGTGATCAGCCGTGAAAAAACTGCCCATTGAAACACTCAGTCTCCAGATCCCTTTGGGTTTCTGTTCTCCTATTTCTCGGTCTTCTCTCCCTCCCATTCCTGGGGGCCTCATAAGCGTGGGGAGGGAAGCGCCCTCAAGTGTGTGGTGTGGGATAAACTTCTTCTCATCAAGGCATCTTCCACACTCTGGGGCTATTCAGGGGACTATGTGTTTGTGAAGAGGAGTTCCAGGGGACTGGGAGGGGAAGGGGGAGACGGGAATGGTGGCGGGGACAACGGTGGCGAGCTCAGGGAGAGCATGAGCCCGAGGGGACAGGGCGGGGAGGGCAGGGACTTACGCGAAGGTTACCCACCTGCTTTCCTGAGGAGCCGGCAGTACAGCAGCAGGGCCACGACCCCAAAGCTCAGGGCGCTGAACAGCCCCCCAGTGACACCAGTAGCGACGAGGCCACTTATGCTCCCAGCTGGCCCTGGAGGGGAGACCCTGTGCATGAGCTGGAGGGAGAGTCTCGCAGTCTAGACTGCTTTGACCTCTGGAGATGGTGCCCTGGCCTGGGAGTGGTGGGGAGGGACCTGGGGGGCCAGGGTGGACAGAGCCAACCAGGGAACGCTAGAGCCAACCATCCTCTTGGGCCTCCTGCTCCCACTCTGGTGCCTGCATTTCAGAAACACTTCACAAAGTGATATTTCAGCTTTGTGCGCCTGCTCCTGAGGGAGTCCTGGTCACACAGCAGCAGGGCTGCCAGGATGTCCTTGGAGGGGACATTCTGTCCACATCGGTGGCCTGAGAACAGGAAACCTACCTGAAATGCTGAGTAGCACTGCCTCGCTGCGCCGGGCACCCAGGCCATTGTCAGCCTCACAGGAGTAGTTTCCAGAATGTTCTGTGGTCAGAGAGAGGTTGAAGGACGCTCCTCCTCCAGAGGGGGCCGAGTTGTTCCCCACGGGGATGTCCTCACGATAAAACTGGTACAAGATGGGGGGAGAGCCCCTCTGGGCCTCACAGCGAAGCTCCACCACGTCCCCCACCTGGACTTGGGCCCTGGGCACCTTGAGGGTGAGGGCGGGGCAGGACACCGGGACTGAGGGAGACAAAAGCCAACAGAAGTTCCTACTTCTAACGTATTCATAAAGGAGCAGTAATTATAAACGGATGGCAGAAGTCAGATCTCAATCTTGGGAAATAGATCGAAACTCACATGGCAGCCAAAGTGAAGGACTGTAGTCTACAAAGGCACAAAAATACCCAACAGAAAAGTGTGACAAGGGTATGAGTCACTAAGAACTTCAAACAGCCAATAAATACTTATTTTCATTACTAATTAAAGAGATATAAATAAAAACAGCCACCAGATGGGCAAAACCTAAAAGGGCAGATAATACCAATAGACTTGTGGAGAAACAGGTGCCTTGAGATGCTTTAGGCAGGAATGCAAATTTGAGACACTTTCTGGCATGGCAATTCGGCAACACCTACCAAATGTAAAACGCACATCAACTTTGACCCAACAAATCTACCTTTAAGGCTCAGATATGCAATGGTCTTTGTACAAGGGTTTCTGTGCTGGGATTTTTATGACAGCTAAAAACTAGAGAGAGCCTCATTGGCTGACTGATGAAGTACAAGAGATACTCAAGATCTATTTTTCAAATTAAAGCCAAGATAACATGTTTTAAGTGAAAAGTGCAAGTTGTGTGATTATGTATAATCTGATTCTGTTAAAAAATTTAATACCTTTATATTTATAATATATTTGAATATTTCTAGAAAAATACCCATGAAACTATTAATAGTGGTTATATTTTGGAAGTATGTGGACATGAAAGTGTGTGGCTGCAGGTAAAGGGAGACCTTCACTTTTTATATTCTCCCTGCCATACCATCTGATTTTCTTATGAAGATTTACGTACCCCTTCAGAATAATGAGTTGTCAACAACTCAAAAGTTGTTCTGAAACACGGCCATGGAGGATGAAGGAATGTCATGGTGTAGACTTAGGTGGAGACTGGGGCAGGACCATGGCAGCCTGGCTTTCCCATCGCTAGCTATTTGTAAACTGCCTACTGCCCACCTCTGAGCCTCACCTTGCTCTCCTGCAAATTAGGGATAAAAGTGGTTTATCCTAAAGATGAAATGGGATGAGATATCACATGCCAACTACTAAGCACAGGGCCAGACACATTTGAGGGTTCAGTGATGATGATGATGATGATGATGATGATGACGACAATGACAAGGACAATGACAGTGATGGAGATGTTGGTGACGGTGGTGGTGGAGGTGGTGGTGGTGGTGGTGGTGGAGGTAGAGGTGATGGTAGAGATGTTGGTGATGGTGGAGGTGGTGGTGATGGTGGTGATGGTGGTGGTGGTGGTGGTGGTGGTGCAGGTGGTGATGGTGGTGGAAATGGTGGTGGTGGTGGTGGTGGAGGTGGTGGTGATGGTGATAGTGATGGTGATAGTGGTCGTGATAGTGGTGGTGGTGATGGTGATGGTGGTGGTAATAATGAGAAATATTTCTCTTTCTTGCAGGTCTCTGTGATCTGTGCCCTAGGTGCAGAGCCCAGACATAATCCGTGGAGGCAGGAAGTCCTTCAGGTGTGATGGCAGCAGCTGAAATAGCCTGAGTCGTGCGAAGGAATCAGAAACAACAGCATGAAGGCGAACAGAAACTCAAGAATACTGCGTGGGTAGGAATGATGTGTGGTCCACAGTGTTGTGAAGAGAGAGGGAGCAGCATTTTGGCTGGTGTTACATGCTTGCATGACGGGTCTAAGAGGTAAGCGTGTAAGCCTTGTAGCAAGAGTCTCTGTGAATTTCAAGAAAACTGGCTGAGCCAGGTGCTGCCTGCTGGTGGGAGAAGACGGTTGGACTCAATAAATGGAAAAAAATCAGACCTGAAATCAAGCTGTCTCCTGGATGCCAAAGAAATGGCTGCCCTGGGCACGTTGAGAGTGCCGGCCCTGGGCTGCCCCAAGTCAGCCTGCTCAGGTGACTCTGTCTCTATCGTCATGGTGCCCAGGAGCCCTGCCAGGAGAGACTTCAAGCGTCAGTCTATATGTCAGCCATGCCATGGTCCTCTCTGTCTCTGGAATGTATCCCAGGGGTAGGGACCTACCCTTTCTCCTTCTGAATACTCCTTCCAGGAACCTTTGAGTTCAAAATACTCCATATCCACTGTGCACCAAAATCAGAGAATTTTAGGGCCAGGGATGACCACAATGCCCATCTAGTCTGGTTTTCCCACTTCATGGGTGTGGAAATAGAGATCAATTTATGGGAAACAAGTTTAGCCAAGGTCACACAGCTGGTTGCCTCCGGAGCGGAGACCAGAACATTCATCTCAACCACCCTCCCCGGGTCCCCGGAACAGGAGATTGGAGGTTCAGCCTGTAGGGTTGTCACAACTGAGCAGAGCTCACAAGACGCCATTTTCCTTTGGATGCGACACTCAATGGCAAGAGGTCAGAGGGCAGCATAGAGAACGGAGGAATTTGGTGGAGGGTGGCCGGTGGCATCCATGCCATCCTGTTCCAACGTCTCTGTGCTTCTCTCCCATGGTTCCACTGCGTTAAGATTCACTTTGTACAAAAATGTGGACTGGTTATGTCTCCTGAAAGGCCACGCACAGAGCTAATGTTAATATGGAGTTTTTAATACGGAAGTCTGAGGCATATTTATATTCCTGGTAATAAAGGAGTGTAAGAATAAAGGCTTGCAGGGGTCAGGAGAGAAAAACCTGGACAAGGAATGGCCAAGCCTGTTTTTGGAGCAGAAAGACCCAAAGTCTCCCTTTGTAATCATAATTACAGATCCGAATACAGTTTATGGTGTAAAAACCCCTTGCATTTTTAGTGGGGAGTTAAGATCCCATTGAGGAGGACCACTTGGGCTGGGCGGCCATGAAGGTCCAGCTTCCTACAGGGGAAACACAGAAGGACCCAGGATATGCAGAGGAAGGTTCTGGTGGCAGAAATAGTGGGGGCCGAGCTGTCCCGGCAGCAGGGATGGGTATGTGTGGGGAGGGCCTGAGATCCACTCCAGTGGCTGGTCCGTGCTTGTGCTGCTGAGGGCAGGACATACTCACCTATGATGCTGAGTGACACCGCCTCACTGCACTGAGCTCCCAGGCCATTGTCGGCCTCGCAGGAGTAGTTTCCAGAATGTTCTGCAGTCAGAGAGAGGTTGAAGGATGCTCCTCCTCCAGAGGGGGCAGAGCTGCTCCCCAGGGCATCGCCCTGGTGGTAAAACCTGTAGAGGATGGGGGGAGAGCCCCTTGGGGACTCACAGTGAAGCTCCACCTTGTCTCCCTCCACGGCCTGGGCCCTGGGCTTCCTGACGGTGAGGACGGGGCGCGACGCCGGGACTGAGGGAGGAAAGCAGTTTACCATCAGTTCATGGTGTTTAAATGTCTTCCTCTGCAGGAAAGACATCTCAAACCAGAAACCGTTTTCCTCAGTTTAGACACCTTGTGACAGCCTCAGCGCCCAGTGACAGCTTCCTCAGGTCTGAGGACGCAGTCACCTTCATGAGCTGGGTGCACAGTTCAGAGCGCTGGGTGCACACAGCTCCAGGGTGTCGGGGACCCAAGGCAACAGTCACGGTGACTGCGGAGGAGTCAGGGGACAGCTGGGGAAGGGACGGGTCAGCGCAAGGGCAAGGGAGGAGCAGGGAGACACGGGGCTCACACAGCCAGGGACGTCACCACACCTCGGCCGCGTTGCACACGAGCCCACAGAGAATGAGTGTCGATCACCTTAGTAACTCAGTTCATATCATTCATTCATCCAAAATTGATGGAGCAGTGAGTCCCGGGAAGTGTGCTGTGTGCTGGGGATTCAAGAGTGAGAAAGACCCGTCCCCACTCTGCCGAAGCCTCGATCCAGAGGACGGGATGGGCAGCAAGTGCTTGAACCGTGGGTGTGGGATGGACACGGTGGTGGCTAACACAAATGGAGACCAGTGTGGGAGGAAGGAGCCATCCCAGGGGCCTGGTCTAGCAGGGTCCGGTCAGGGAATCCTTCCTCACAGGGGCGTCTGAACTCAACCAGGTGAAGACTGAAGTGAGGAGCGTGCCAAGCAGGCAGACAGCATGTGCAAAGGCCCTGAGTCGGGAAGAGGGCTGGAGCCCTGGACGTACCCTAACAAGGCGGCAGCAGCAGTGAGAGGTGGTCTGAGGAGTGGGTGAGCAGGAGAGGGAGGCCTCTGCCCATGCTTCCCATGCTGCGGGAAGTCCGTCCATGATCCCAGTGTGCAAAACAGATATGTGCGGGCATGCATGGAGTCAGAGGTGGTGCTGCGGCAACTGAGGTGCTGGTAAGTTTGGCAAGGATCATGGCCGTGCAGACGGAAAGAACAGATCTGAGACATATTTAGGAAGTAAACCCCACAGGACTTACTGACAAAGCAGCTGTGAGGAGCAAGGAGAGAGAGGTCAAAGGAGGCTCCTGAGCTTCGCCTTGTAAATCTGTATGGACGGACGGCCTATCACAGAAGCAAGGACACGTGGAGGAGGAACAGGGCTGGGGGCTGCCTTGAGTTCAGTCTTAGAGATGCCCGGGGTCACAGGCTCTGCGGTACTGAGTGGAGGGAATGCAGGTGCTCAGGTGGGTGGTGTCCTGCGCAGGTAGGGGTTTAGGGACATTTACGGATAATACCCCCAGGATGGCCTGGAGCAAGGGTACACAGCAGAGAAGAGGCACACGCAGGACAGCGCCCTGGGGCACAACACTGAGCGTGCCGTACGAGGACGAGCTGGCGAAGGGCACTGAGAAGGAGGGCAGAGAGCAGTGCCGGCGGAGGGGGCATCTCACAGTGGAGGAAAAGGCAGACCATACGGGCTGTTTCCGAGAGACCAAGTGGGATGGGGGTTGGAAAATGGCCATTGAGTTTAAAGTCATGGAGGCCACTGGCGACCCTGGTGAGAACCATTCTGGCAGCAAAGTCGGAAGAACCGAGTGGATTAAACGTAGCAGGTAAGGAAGAAATAGACAATACCTATGCAGCTGACCCTTCTTGGAAGTTTAGTCAGAAGAGAAAGGTGGCTGGAGGCACAGTGGGATGGAGTGAGGGTTTTTTAAGATGTTGAGAGACACATCATGTTAAATGTCCAGGGAAAGGAGGAGACATTAGGGGACACGGGAGAGAAAGGCTGACTGGTCATGCGGTGTCGGGAATGCAAGAAAGACAGACTCTAGGGATGAGAAGTGGCTCACGGCAGTGGAGTCCTCTCCTCTGGAACTTGGACAGAGGATGGAGGAGTCACAGCATGGGCACTGAGACAAACGCCATGGTGGCGGGAGTGGGGGGTCAGCGTCTGGGAGGGAGCAGACGGGTGGGCGAGCTGGGGCTCAGCTGGGCTCTGAGGACACTGGTGATGAGAGGGGGTGAAGAAGCACGTAGGGCGGGTTGCTGGAGTGGCGCGTGTACGCGGGGGTGGAGGCTGGTGTGGAGCATGGTGGCGAGGTGCCAGCCGGGTGCACAGCAGAGTCACGGACGACGGCAGACGTAGGGGAGGGAGGAAGCTGTGGCTGCGGTGCCGCCTGCACGGGAAGGGGCGTCTTGGGGAGGTCAGCCCACGATGGGGCCCGCTGGACACGGTGCTCCAGCCCAATGCAGCGGGGACAGGGACGGAGCATCCAGGGGAGGATCTGGGAAGTCCTGCAGCCAGAGCTCCGTGTGGGGCCTGAGCTCTCGGGGAAGGGGCCGGAGTAGCCCGAGAGTTCAAGGGCCAGTGAGACAGTGAGTCGGCCTTCGTCCTGATGGACAGACAGGGGACCCCACCCAGATCTCCCCTGGGCTGAGACGCGCCCACGTCCTGTCTCCTCTCCTGAGGGCCGTCGTGGACCAGCCCGCGGGCTGTGGCCTGAAAGCCTCTACTTCCACGCGGGGGCAGCCTAGGCCACAGCGGCTGCAGGATGGCTTCCCGGGAGCACTCAGCAAGCGAGGGGAGGTACCCGTTCCTGGAAATGGAGGGTCCAGACCTCCCGGATGGAGGCGCCTCCAGGCTGGGCCCCAGGGCAGGTGGGGGCACGGTCGGCCCCTGGTTGTGCTGTAGTTGGAAGATTCAACTCACCTGTGACGCTGAGGGGCACCGCCTCACTGCGCTGAGCGCCCAGGCCGTTGTCGGCCTCGCAGGCATATTCTCCAGAATGTTCTGCAGTCAGGTGCAGGGTGAGGGACCCTCCTCCTCCATGGTAGTCCCAGCTGCTCCCCAGGGCGTCGCCCTCGTGGTAAAACCGGTAGAGGATGGGGGGAGAGCCCCTCGGGGCCTCACAGTGAAGCTCCGCCTTGTCTCCCTCCACGGCCTGGGCCCTGGGCTTCCTGACGGTGAGGACGGGGCGCGACGCCGGGACTGAGGGAGGAAAGCAGTTTACCATCAGTTCATGGTGTTTAAATGTCTTCCTCTGCAGGAAAGACATCTCAAACCAGAAACCGTTTTCCTCAGTTTAGACACCTTGTGACAGCCTCAGCGCCCAGTGACAGCTTCCTCAGGTCTGAGGATGCAGTCACCTTCATGAGCTGGGTGCACACTTCAGAGCACTGGGTGCACACAGCTCCAGGGTGTCGGGGACCCAAGGCAACAGTCACGGTGACTGCGGAGGAGTCAGGGGACAGCTGGGGAAGGGACGGGTCAGCGCAAGGGCAAGGGAGGAGCAGGGAGACACGGGGCTCACACAGCCAGGGACGTCACCACACCTCGGCCGCGTTGCACATGAGCCCACAGAGAATGAGTGTCGATCACCTTAGTAACTCAGTTCATAACATTCATTCATCCAAAATTGATGGAGCAGTGAGTCCCGGGAAGTGTGCTGTGTGCTGGGGATTCAAGAGTGAGAAAGACCCGTCCCCACTCTGCTGAAGCCTCGATCCAGAGGATGGGAAGGGCAGCAAGTGCTTGAACCGTGGGTGTGGGATGGACACGGTGGTGGCTAACACAAATGGAGACCAGTGTGGGAGGAAAGAGCCATCCCGGGGGCCTGGTCTAGCAGGGTCCGGTCAGGGAATCCTTCCTCACAGGGGCGTCTGAACTCAACCAGGTGAAGACTGAAGTGAGGAGCGTGCCAAGCAGGCAGACAGCATGTGCAAAGGCCCTGAGTCGGGAAGAGGGCTGGAGCCCTGGATGTACCCTAACAAGGCGGCAGCAGCAGTGAGAGGTGGTCTGAGGAGTGGGTGAGCAGGAGAGGGAGGCCTCTGCCCATGCTTCCCATGCTGCGGGAAGTCCGTCCATGATCCCAGTGTGCAAAACAGATATGTGCGGGCATGCATGGAGTCAGAGGTGGTGCTGCGGCAACTGAGGTGCTGGTAAGTTTGGCAAGGATCATGGCCGTGCAGACGGAAAGAACAGATCTGAGACATATTTAGGAAGTAAACCCCACAGGACTTACTGACAAAGCAGCTGTGAGGAGCAAGGAGAGAGAGGTCAAAGGAGGCTCCTGAGCTTCGCCTTGTAAATCTGTATGGACGGACGGCCTATCACAGAAGCAAGGACACGTGGAGGAGGAACAGGGCTGGGGGCTGCCTTGAGTTCAGTCTTAGAGATGCCCGGGGTCACAGGCTCTGCGGTACTGAGTGGAGGGAATGCAGGTGCTCAGGTGGGTGGTGTCCTGCGCAGGTAGGGGTTTAGGGACATTTACGGATAATACCCCCAGGATGGCCTGGAGCAAGGGTACACAGCAGAGAAGAGGCACACGCAGGACAGCGCCCTGGGGCACAACACTGAGCGTGCCGTACGAGGACGAGCTGGCGAAGGGCACTGAGAAGGAGGGCAGAGAGCAGTGCCGGCGGAGGGGGCATCTCACAGTGGAGGAAAAGGCAGACCATACGGGCTGTTTCCGAGAGACCAAGTGGGATGGGGGTTGGAAAATGGCCATTGAGTTTAAAGTCATGGAGGCCACTGGCGACCCTGGTGAGAACCATTCTGGCAGCAAAGTCGGAAGAACCGAGTGGATTAAACGTAGCAGGTAAGGAAGAAATAGACAATACCTATGCAGCTGACCCTTCTTGGAAGTTTAGTCAGAAGAGAAAGGTGGCTGGAGGCACAGTGGGATGGAGTGAGGGTTTTTTAAGATGTTGAGAGACACATCATGTTAAATGTCCAGGGAAAGGAGGAGACATTAGGGGACACGGGAGAGAAAGGCTGACTGGTCATGCGGTGTCGGGAATGCAAGAAAGACAGACTCTAGGGATGAGAAGTGGCTCACGGCAGTGGAGTCCTCTCCTCTGGAACTTGGACAGAGGATGGAGGAGTCACAGCATGGGCACTGAGACAAACGCCATGGTGGCGGGAGTGGGGGGTCAGCGTCTGGGAGGGAGCAGACGGGTGGGCGAGCTGGGGCTCAGCTGGGCTCTGAGGACACTGGTGATGAGAGGGGGTGAAGAAGCACGTAGGGCGGGTTGCTGGAGTGGCGCGTGTACGCGGGGGTGGAGGCTGGTGTGGAGCATGGTGGCGAGGTGCCAGCCGGGTGCACAGCAGAGTCACGGACGACGGCAGACGTAGGGGAGGGAGGAAGCTGTGGCTGCGGTGCCGCCTGCACGGGAAGGGGCGTCTTGGGGAGGTCAGCCCACGATGGGGCCCGCTGGACACGGTGCTCCAGCCCAATGCAGCGGGGACAGGGACGGAGCATCCAGGGGAGGATCTGGGAAGTCCTGCAGCCAGAGCTCCGTGTGGGGCCTGAGCTCTCGGGGAAGGGGCCGGAGTAGCCCGAGAGTTCAAGGGCCAGTGAGACAGTGAGTCGGCCTTCGTCCTGATGGACAGACAGGGGACCCCACCCAGATCTCCCCTGGGCTGAGACGCGCCCACGTCCTGTCTCCTCTCCTGAGGGCCGTCGTGGACCAGCCCGCGGGCTGTGGCCTGAAAGCCTCTACTTCCACGCGGGGGCAGCCTAGGCCACAGCGGCTGCAGGATGGCTTCCCGGGAGCACTCAGCCAGCGAGGGGAGGTACCCGTTCCTGGAAATGGAGGGTCCAGACCTCCCGGATGGAGGCGCCTCCAGGCTGGGCCCCAGGGCAGGTGGGGGCACGGTCGGCCCCCGGTTGTGCTGTAGTTGGAAGATTCAACTCACCTGTGACGCTGAGGGGCACCGCCTCACTGCGCTGAGCGCCCAGGCCGTTGTCGGCCTCGCAGGCATATTCTCCAGAATGTTCTGCAGTCAGGTGCAGGGTGAGGGACCCTCCTCCTCCATGGTAGTCCCAGCTGCTCCCCAGGGCGTCGCCCTCGTGGTAAAACCGGTAGAGGATGGGGGGAGAGCCCCTCGGGGCCTCACAGTGAAGCTCCGCCTTGTCTCCCTCCACGGCCTGGGCCCTGGGCTTCCTGACGGTGAGGACGGGGCGCGACGCCGGGACTGAGGGGGGAAAAGTAAGTTAGTTGTCATCTGTAGCTTTTAACATTTCCTATAGTTTCATTTTTCAGGCATGACTTCTGTGCGGTGTGGATGACATTTTCTAGATCTTCTCGTGTATAAGAATATGCGTTCTAATCAACACATCAATAAATAGGTAGAAACATACAGGCCTGCGCATGAACAGACTGTAATGTGCATACCGGCCTACGGCCTGGGTTTTCTTCGGGGGCACACCAGGAGCATCTTCCCACATCGCTGCTTAGACAGCTGCCTCATTCACTATTGGAGACCCACCTCATTGTGGTGTAATTCACACATTACCAAACGCAACTCTCTTAAATCTACAATATGATAATTTGGGGTAAACGTTCTCGATTATTTTAATAACAACGCCATGCCCCACAGTCCTGCATACACGTCCTGGTACATTTTGTGTGCACTTCTGAGCATACATTCTTAGACGTGGACTTTCTCGGATGAGGGACAAGAACATTTCAAATAAATATATATTATGCTAGATTGTTCTTCAAAACCTTTGGACTCTTTTGCTTTTGCACTAACAGATGTAAGAGCTCCTGTCCCCACACTGTCATGAGTGACAGAGAAATGCAGAGGCTCATTTTTATGATTTCTTCTCTCTTCCTAATCCTAAATTCTATAGTCATTCTTTTAATGATTGTGTATTTTTGAGAGAGAGAGTGAGCAAGTGGGGAAGGGACAGAGAGAGAAAGATACAGAATCGCAAGCAGGCTCCAGGCTCTGAGCTGTCAGCACAGAGCCCTATATGGGGCTTGAACTCACAAGTTGTGAGATCATGACTTGAGCCAAAGTGAGGTGCTCAACAACCGAGTCCCCCAGGCACCCCTACAGATATTCTGTCTATCCTATGTGAATCTACCGTCTACTTGCTGATATTTTAGGGGCTGCTGGTGAACTATAATCCATGAATGAGAAGTTACTGCCTATAAAGCATTCAGATATTGGTTACAAGATGGAAAATTGGAAAGCTGCCATTAATTTTTCAAAATGTATCAAGTCAATTCTTTTTCGTGCTCCACCGTCAAATAGCAATAGTAATCATGAGAAAATTCTTGTTCTTTTATTTCTTTTCCGCCATCTGACCAACTAGCTTTTTTTTGTTACATATATTTTTTACACCTTTGACATTCTTTGTAACCATAATTCTCACAGTTGATTAGGCTTGTTTTCATATCTGAATCAGTGGTTTTCACTCTATGTGTACAATATTCTTACCTAGGGACTTGTTAAAAAAAAGCGATTTTGAGACCACATCTGAGAGATTCTAAATGTGATAGGCCCGGAGAGATGATTAGCAATGAGCCTGTTTTCAGAGCTCCAGGATGACTCTAGCTTACAGGCAAGGCAGGGGGGCTCTGCTGGTCGCTGGTCCAAACAGATCCTGCATCGCTGGTTAGATCACAGCTAACTCCTTTTGAACTCTTTGTATCGATTCATATTTTGGCTGGCTGGATTTTGTCATCATGTAACTTCTTCAAGAAGGTTTAATGGATACAAAGTTCCCTGGGTCCCTGCATGTTTGAACATGACTTTTGGTCAGTTTGGATTCCCATCTCAGGGACATTTCACATAGGGGTCTTCACTGACCTCCAGAATTTAAACTTTTCTTGTTGCCTTTGTTTCTGTGTCTTTTTTTCTACTTTGCATTCTGTCATGTTTTCTCAAACCAATTCTTCGTTTGATTAATGGTTTTCAGAGGGATACATCTTGCTTTTGTGGCTCCAAGTTTGGATTTAATTTCTAACATAACTTTCTGGGGTTTTTGGTTTTTCTTCTGAGCTCTGCTACTTAATTTATAAAATATTTCTGTTTTCTTATCATCTCTTCTTTAACCTGTTTCTTCCTTTTTGCAGTTATTTTCTGGAGTCCATATTTTAATTATATTGAGAATATTTAGAAGAATTATAGCAATTCTTTTCTTTAAAAAAACATATCCTATATCATGTGTCCCTCTTTCCCCTTTTATAATTTTTAAATGCATCAATGCAAAACTCCCACAATCTCTTTCTTTCTGCTTAAACTTATCTGTCAACAGATAAAGGTATATTTTGAGTCTTGTATTTGCTTGAGAATGTTGTGTGTGTGTGTGTGTGTGCACGTGCGTGTGCATGTGTACGTGTGTGTGTTTTGTTGGCCCAGGCCTGGTGATAGACTCCAAATAGGTCTATCTTATCAGAACACATTCCCACAAAATCCCTTTGTCATTTCTTTGCGGTACAGTCCCTCAAAAAAGTGAATGATTTTGTCAGAGTATCTGCCTGATTTACAGTGAACCTCTCGGCTCACAGGTAAGTTGTCTGCTAATCTCGGGCTCATGAATTTCTGCTCATGTGAATGAGCAGATACAAAGATCAGTGTTCTCTTCCTGGTCTTCCCTTCCTCATCGTACCTCAAAGGCTTTTTGTTCATTGTTTTATAAATACTGACTGAGGACCTAACTGTGCCTGACGCCAAGTAGGCACAGCGACGTGGTGGAGACCCAAAGGGAGGAGGCTCTGTTCTCGTGATGCTTACGTGCTGGTATTGAGGAAGGCAGACAAGAAACAGGAGATAAAGAGGTCTGAGGTGTTGCTAAATAGAGAAGAAAATGAAACATGATAATGGGATGGATGACGTCTTAGGGCTGGGGCCTTTCCTAGGTAGGTTACATTCTGGCTTTGAAGACTGGGACTCAGAACACTTCAATGTCTTAAATAATCTCTTGACCACAAAATTTACATGGGGGGGGGGCATCTTCCCTTGGTCATTCTTGATTTCTATGACCTAAAACAAAGGCTCTCAAGGAGCAGGAGAGCCTTCAGAGCTGTATGCTCAAAGTCAAGACCACTCCCCCCAGACTCACGTGTTCCTAAGGCCAGCATGCTGCCAGTCTGCACACTCCTCCCCACTCCCACGGCCCCTGCGGAGACTTCCCTCGCTCCCCCGAGAGGGGCGAGGAAGCGGTCGGGCGGTGCCGTCCCCCGCAGGGCCGGGTGTCTCCTCTGGGGCTCAGAGGGGCATAGTTACTGTCTTGTCTAGCTTCCAATAGAAGGTGAAAACAGTAAGATGGGGAAGGTTTACACGTTTCGCCTGAATCACGAACCACGTATTTTCATGGTCAGGGCCAGAATTCAGGTTTTCTGACTCATACTTAGATCCGACGACGCAAGTGTTTTCAGGTACGTTGCTGGCTCTTTCTAGGAAACCCCAGAGTCCCCGCCGGGCACACAGATCCCTAAAACAAGTATTTTTGGAACCACAGTTCGTTATGTGCCATGTTGTATCCATACTTTTGTTGGGCTGGAAGTGGGTGGGGCACTGCCTGCGGCCCGGGGGCCTGGTGCCCGCCTGGTCCTACCAGTTGGAGCTGCTGTTTGGCATGTGCCTTCTGGCATTGGTGGATGGGCAGAGGCTGAGATCACAGCAAGGAGTTGCAGCCAGAATCCGAGCAGTCGACCCTGGCGTGGCGGAGGGAGAGACAGAGGGAAGGGAGGGCGCTCAGGAGCAGGGGCGACGGCAGGGTCGTAGGAAAATAGATGGTGGCCTGTGAACACAGTGGCCTTCAAGTTCGTGGTCAGTACAGGTCCGTACCACCTGCTCTGGAGAAATACATGATTTTCTGAGAGGTCTCCCAGCTCTTCCGTGAGTCTGCCCCTTCTCCCCACCCACCCCTTTGTGAGGTGACCCCACTCCTGTTTTCCAGTGTAAATGATGCTCTGGTGGAAAAAGTCCCTCGTATTGCCCTTCCTGTTCCTGTGACCCTGGATCAGCTGCGCCCACCTGCCCACCCCAGAAGGATCCTCCTCTTCCTCCACCTGCCTCTGTCCACATACAGATTCTCTGGTTCCATTAGTTTCTTCCAAACTCCACATGGATGTATTTAATCCTCTCCACATTAGAAAACCAACAAAACATGGGGCGCTTGGGTAACTGAGTTGGTTAAACGCCCGACTCTTCATTTCGGCTCAGGTCGTGATCTCATGGCTTACAGGTTGGAGGCCCCTGCTGATGGAGCCTGCTTGGGATTCTCTCGCTCTGCCTCTCCCCTGCTTGGTCTCTTTCTCTCTCTCAAAATAAATAAATAAACTTTAAAAAATTTAAAAAAGATCAACACAACAAAAACTTCCACATTTACGTGACTTGTTCCCCACCATCTCTCTCTCTCTCTCTCTCCTTTTTTTTTTTTTAATAGTTTATTGTCAGGTTGGTTTCCATATAACACCCAGTGCTCATCCCCACAAGTGCCCTCCTCCATGCCCATCTCCCCCCTCCCCTCCCACACCCATGAGTCCTCAGTTTGTTCTCATTATTCAAGAGTCTCTCATGGTTTGCCTCTCTCCCTTTTCCCCACCATTTCTCTCCTTCTTCTCCCTCATGGTCCTCCGTTAAGTTCCTCCTAAACCTCCTATACGTGCAAACATATGATATTTGTCCTCCTCTGCCTGACTTATTTCGCTCAGCGTAACACCCTCAAGGTCCGTCCATGTTGCTACACATGACCAGATTTCATTTTTTCTCATTGCCATGTAGTATTCTATGGTATAGGTAAACCACATCTTCTTGATCCATTCATCCGTTGATGGACACTTAGGCTCTTTCTATGTTTTAGCTATTGTTGAGTGCTGCTATGAACATTGGGGTGCATGTGCTCCTATGCGTCAGCACTCCTGTATCCCTTGGGTAAATTCCTAGTAGTGCTATTGCTGGATCATAGGGGAGTTCTATTGTTAGTTTCTTGAGGAACCTCCACACTGTTTTCCAGAGGGGCTGTGCCAGTTTACATTCCCACCAACAGTGTAGGAAGGTGCCCGTTTCTCCACATCCTCGCCAGCATCTAGAGTTCTCTGATTTGCTCATTTTAGCCACTCTGACTGGTGTGTGGTGGTATCTCAGTGTGGTTTTGATTTGTATTTCCCTGAGGAGGAGGGATGCTGAGCATCATTTCATGTGTTTGTTGGTTATCTGGATGTCCTCTTTGGAGAAGTGTCTGTTCATATCTTCTGCCCATTTCTTCACTGGGTTGTTTGTTTTTTGGGTGTGGAGTTTGGTGAGTTCCTTATAGATTTTGGATATTAACCCTTTATCTTATATGTCATTTGCAACTATCTTTTCCCATTCTGTTGGTTGCCTAATAGTTTTGTGGGTTGTTTCCTTTGCCGTGCAGAAGCTTTTAATCTTGATGAGGTCCCAATAGTTTATTTTTGCTCTTGATTCCCTTGTTTTTCAGGATGTGTCAAGTAAGAAGTTGCTGCGGTGGAGGTCAAGGAGGTTGTTTCCTGCTTTCTCCTCTAGGGTTTTGATAGTTTCCTGTCTCATGTTCAGGTCCTTTTCCATTTTGAGTTTATTTTTGTGTATTCCCCACAGTCTCCTTTTCCTTTTTTCTGTGGACATATTTCTGAGAGAAGGGGCCTACATTTCCTGTCTCCATTTCTTTTCCTCACACTCATGTTTTTGTTCATTAAAACCTGCTTTAAAAAAATATCCCCACCAATCTATAAAGTTGATCTTCTGCGTTTGTGACTATAATGATAATATAGCACTGTAACGTCTGTATCTGCTATACGGGTGGGTGTCTGTTATGTATAAGCTGTAAACATATGCAAGCAGGCACTAATTCTCAAACAAGCCTATGAGGCAGGTACTATAACTGCCCCTCTTTTACAGAAGAGGAAACCGAGGCCAAAGCAGGGCAGCTGCACAGCTAGTAAGCACGCCAGCAGTCACACCCATACTCCCTTCTCCTTTGCTTCTTTTGCTTTTGCATTCAGCGCTTTGGGGCTGAACCCAGGGGAGGTGACTCAGTTCTTTCTCATCAGCTCGCAGCTCTGCTTGGTCTGAAGTGACCACATCTTCTGCTTCAAATACGTTGTTCCCTTGGTTTTTGTGGTTTCTAAGTCACGGCACCTCCTCCCACCAGCCTCCGCGCTCAGGGTCCTCCCCCTTCCGCGGCACTGGCCCGAGGTCCTGTCTGACCGGTCTCTTGTCTGGAGCCTCTGCTGTGCTCCTGGCTGTTCCCAGGGTGGGTTCTTCTCTCTGCTACCATCCATTTGTGACCCCGAAGCCCGGGTGATCTCTCCGGTGAGAATCTCGGTCACGGACCCCAGAGCTCCCTTTAGAATAAAGCCCACGCCCTCAGCATGGGTCTGAGGCTTCCTGCCCCCCCGTCGTCTGCCCCTCTGTCCTTCCACGCTCGCTGCAGTCTGCAGGGCCGGCCTCCCCCCAGTCCTGGACCGTGGTTCCCGCTGCCCAGTCCCTCGGCGCCTGCCTCCGCCCGGATCACAGTCTCTCCCAGCCCTCCCTCTGTCTCCCTGGGATGCGGCCGCCAGCCCGGCCCTCGGCTCCCCCGTGAGCTCTGCTGGAGTCCTGTCTCGGGCAGCACGGATCGGGGTGCCTCTCTGCCCCCACGGCCTGCAGGTACGCGTTGACCTCGGCCCAGGGCTTGCCGGTCCACACCCGCTGGTCGCCCCCAGCGCCGTGCGCAAGGCCTGGCCGAGCTAATCCCAGGCCTCCGTGGGCGGAGCTCATTGCGACCACAGCTTACGCTCTTCTTCGTTAGGTGAGCGCATGCGCAGCCACGTAGACACTTCCGCCGCGGAGGGCGCCCGTGGTGACGTCACTTCCCGATTTCCTCCGGCCTCTGTGTGTTCGGAGCGCGGTGTCTCTCTCCCCTTGGTCCGGTGCCTCCGTCAGGGCTCCCTGGCCCCGTTCCTTACGGCCTTCTGCGCAGGAGCTGCGGGAGCAGCTGGACGCTGGCTGGTCTCCAGCCTGGCTGTGTGTTTTCTACAGAAGAGGAAACTGAGGCTGCGCCGGCCTGCGCCGGGACTGGACTGCGCATGAGCACACCCACCCCCGCAGTCCGTCCGGACCTGGTTCTGCGTCGAGGCTCCACGGAAAGCGCATAACCTCTTAGACACCCGCCTTTGTCACCTTGTGGGCTTTAAGGCTAGCAGGCGAGTGGGGTCATCTGTGTCCCCCTCCCCCCGCACCCCTGCTCCCTATGCACCCCTGCCCCCAGGCGCCCGCGGAGGAGACGCTGATCGCGCTGTGGGCTGAGTACCGTTGGTGGTCGGTACCGTACCCCACTGTGTTCCGTATGTGATGTTCAAGGGCCAAGTGATCAGGATGGGCCATGATCAATAACTGATGTCACGTCTGGGCCCCGGGGTCTGGATCTGCAGTTGCTGAGAGCACGTGCGTGAACGGGGACTCACAGGACGAGGGGTGAGCGCGAGAAAGCACCTGGCTCCTCAGGTGGGGCCGGGAGGGAGGCTGTGTGCATTCGGCCCGGGCTCTGAGGGGCCTGCACTGCGCCTGCGACCAGGCGCACAGAGGCAGGCGGCTGTCCCCGGGGACATCGGGGGGCCTTAGAGGCAGGAACATGCGACTGGAGGGCTGGGGTGGGATGGGGGGCCGCCAGCCCAGGGCTTACCGATGACAGTGAGGTACACGGGTGGGCTGCGCTGGGGACCCAGGCCGTTGTCCGCGGTGCAGTAGTAGTTTCCAGAATGCTTTGCCTTCAGAGACATGAAGGACTTCGTGCCCTGAGTGGCCTCCATCTTCCCGATGACGACTTCCTCACGAAGGAACTGGTACAAGATTGGGAAAGAGCCTCTCTCGGCTTTGCAGGAAAGCGTCACCGTATGTCCCTCAGGAACGGTGGCCCCAGGGGGGCTGAGGGTGAGGATAGGACGAGACACGGGGACTGAGGGAAAGAATCATGAGTCAGCGGGTGCCCGCCGCTTGCGCATTTCCGGTGCTGGCCGGGGTTCAGCCTCTGCCCTCCACGCTGCCCCTTCTCCCCCCTCCCCCCTCCCCCTTGTAAATGATGCTCTGGTGGAAGAAGTCCCTCGTATTGCCCTTCCTGTTCCTGTGACCCTGGATCAGCTGCGCCCACCTGCCCAGGCCCTGGGCTGGTCCTCTCAGTCCCTGTTCTCTGCTTCTCCACTCCCTGGGGGTGGACTCAGCACACCGCCCGTCATCCTTTCCCTTCCAGATTCACACACTCTTCCAGGGTCCCCTCTGTCCCTGCACTCTCCCCGCATCCACCCTGACCCCTCTGTTTCCCGGGGAGAGAACGAGGTCAGGAAGAGGATGGGAGGCCTGTGTGTTTCCAGAGGCCGGTACCGGGGTCTGCCTGCTGAGTACCGGCCCAGCGCTGAAGGAAGAGCCTCCTTCGGTGCGGCTGGATTAGGCAGCTATGACTTCCCTAAGGGCCTTGAGTGCACTGGTCAAGGAGTGGTGGATTCGGGGCTCCTCCTCACCCCCAGCTACATCTCTGGAGTGGCTCTGATGTTATTACCCATCTCTGCATCCAACAAGGATGGCCATGTTGGTTATTGTCAGAAATGAACCGGTGATTGGGAAACAGATACCACCATATCCCTGGGAGAGAGATGGAGACAAACAGTGGAGGGAGAGGGAAGGAGGGAGGGAGGGATGCTGCAGACACACTGAGGGGTGTGACAGTCCCCAGCTGGGCAGAGCACGAGGCCCACGAGAGACAGAGACAGACGTTTGTTCGCAGATCTGGAAGCCAGCAGAGACATCAGGATGGTGTTACTGGCTGAAACGTGTTCCTCCAAAATGACTGTGTTGAAGCCCTAACCCCCAATGTGGCTGTATTTATAGAAAGGGCCTTTGAGGAGGTAATTCAGGGTGAAGGAGGCTATAGGTGGGGCCCTATTCAGGTAAGACTGTGGCCCTTGTGACAGCAGAAGAAAGAGGCCCACTAAGGATTTGGTGAGAAGCTGGCTGGCTGCAGGACAGAAAGTGCTCTGTTCAGACACCAACGTACTGCACCTTGATCTTGGACTTGTAGCCCCCAGGGCTGTGAGAGAATACATCTCTGTGTGCACACTGTGCAGCCGGTGGTGTTTAGGTGAGGCAGCTGGAGCAGACCGTGCAGGGGACCTGGGCTTGGCGGGGAGGCAGGAAGCAGGTAAGACGAGAGGTTGGTTGGGCAGCAGTGCAAGGTTCGAAGCAAGAGTCTCTGGGCTCTTGATCAACAAGACAGTCAAGCCTGACATGCAGCTCTGCCTGGTTCTTCCCTGCTCCCAAACCCTGGCAGATCAGAACGCATGGACACTCACTCGGCACGTGTAGCTGCACTTTCTGGCTCTGTTTGCAGACACCGGAAGACCCTCTGCGGGCCTCGCACCAGTAATACTGTGGCTTTTGGCCCCTCATGGTGGTGGTTGAGGTTTTCAGGAAGTTTTTCAAGCTGACCTCCAGCTTCTGGCCATCTTGGAAGAAGTAGAACCAGAGCTTGACGTCTGACCTCTGTGGAGGTAGCTGGGTCTCACAGGTCAGGGTCACTGACTTCCCAATGATGGACCAGGAGGGCCTGGCTGTCAGCACGGGACGTGGAAACAGTTCTAGAGAAGGATCACAATGGTCCCCAAGAGCAGTGAGGCCTGGGCTGCTCCAGAGAGAAACACAGCCCGTTGGCAGCAGCAGAGGGGGTGAAATGTGGGCAGAGGGAGATGCCACTTTGCCTCCCCAACACCCTTCAGCCCAAAGCACTCTTGCATCTTCCTCTGATTCTTGCAGGAGAGAGCCCTGGGGCATGGGGCCTTCCAGCCCACCCTTGTCACCATCCACTGCCTCAGGGACCTTCCTTTCAATAAACCCATCTCACAAATAGTGAAGGCTTTACCTTGGACTTGGATATTGATTGTGTTTGAAGAGTAAGAATAATCATTCTTAAATCCAGAACAATGGTAGTCTCCGTTATCTTTGAGTCCTGCGTCTTTAATGTGGAAGTGAGAGCTCTCAGTAGAGAGCCTCAGGACCTCGCCACGTCTGTAGAGTGTTGTGGCATTTAGTGCTAGTTCTGCATTTGCTCGGCATCTCAGAACCACAGAGTCGCCTTCAAACACGTAAGGGGGGCCCTGCAGGATCAGGTTCGCTGCAAGACAACACAAGCCTTGTCATTTGGTTCCTTCTTTTCGTTAGTCCTCCAAACAGATTTTCTAGGATGAGGATGGGGGGAAACAATGTACAAGGTCATTATAACCCCGTTTTCTTCTGATTTTAGAGTAAACACATATGTCCTGAGAAGACTTGGAGAGCAGAAATGTAGATACATTCCCTTCTCATGTTGCCGCCTAGATGTGGGTGTGCACGTTTCAGGGGCTCTTTTCCACGTGTGCGTCTGCGAGAGTCTGTGTGCACTGCGTTCTCTTTATGAAACTGCAGTAATGCTTGTGTATCTGAAACTTGCTCTTTGACCTCCTCTACTACAAATACTTTTCTAGGCCATCAGTCTCGCTGCCAAACCTGCCTTCTAATGGCTGCAAAGTTTCCCTTCAATGCGATGCCATGTAATTTACTTAATGAGTTTTCTTTTCTTGACCATTCAGCATCCTTCAGTTTGGGGCAAGTGAGGGGAGGGGGGAAAAAGGAGACAGAGACACAGAATCTGAACAGGCTAGGCTCTGAGCTATCAGCACAGAGCCCGACATGGGGCTCAAACCTACAAACTATGAGATCATGACCTCAACTGAAGTCAGTCGCTTAACCAACTGAGCCCTCCAGGCACCCCTCCAGTAGGTAAATTTCTTAAGGGGGGAGTTGCCAGCTTGGAGAGGTCAAGCATCTTATTTTCTCCTTGTTACTACACTGGTTCCTTGTTGATGGAATCAAAGAACATCATAACCTGCTTCGAATTCAAAACAGGTGGCTTTACTTACTACTTTTTCTGGGGTGCCTGGGTGGCTCAGTCAGTTAAGCATCTGACTCTTGATCTCACTTGGGTCATGATCTCACAATTGGTGAGATCGGGGCCTGCGTCTGGCTCTGTGCTGGCAGTGCAGAGCCTGCTTGGGATTCTCTCTCTTCTTTTTAATTAAGAAGGAGACTACATCAAAATAAATCAGAATTTCTTTACATAAAAAACTGGTGGCATTAGGACACAGAAAAAAAGAGAAATGTTTCGTCTTTCTCTCTTGCTGTCTGTATACAATACCCCCGTGCACACCATGGGGGCGGGGCACCGGCCCTCCACGCAGTGGAAAATCTGAGTATCACACATTTCATAACATTAACTAACACGTATTTTGTATGTTCTCTGTATTATAGACTGTATTGTTATAACGAGGTAAACTGGAGGGCAATGTTATTAGGAAAATCATAAGGAAGAAAAACACATTTACAGTCGTGTCCTGAAAGTCTGCATGGAAGTGGACCCGTGCAGTTCAACCCCATGGCGTTCATGAGTCAGCTGTACCTCTGTCTGTCTGTCTGCCTGTCCATCTGAAAAATCCTCATGCTGCTTATTATTCCAAAAAAATTTTATAAGTTTGAAACTACACATATGGGGCGCTTGGGTGGCTCAGTCAGCTGAGTGTCCAACTTCAGCTCAGGTCAGGAGCTCACGGTTCCTGAGTTTGAGCCCCCCTGTCTGTGCTGACAGCTCAGAGCCTGGAGTCTGTTTTGGATTCTGTGTCTCCCTCTCTCTGCCCCTCCCCTGCTTGTGCTCTGTCTCTTTCCCAAAAATAAAAAATGAAACACTAAGAAAATTTTTAAAAATTACACAGATTCAGAAATCATTTAAATCAATTGCTTCTCCAATTTTCTTTGACCTGAGCAACAAATCTTGGGATCTTATCTGTATGGATTATGACTCAGTAAATATAGGGCAGGTTCTGGGCAACTGTATGGTTTCTAAGGTTTTTATTTTCTTCACTTTTTTTCTCACCTGAAGAAAAGGTCAAGCTCACGTGGTCACTTGGGAGCGAGTCCTGGGTCTGGCATCTGTACTGTCCAGAGTCACGGACCTCCAGGCTGTTTCCTGAGGTTTCATGTAGTTTTCTCTCCCCGAGGTACCAAAGGAACCGTCTTCTTTTTTCTGGTGCGTGAAAGTGAAACACATTGCATGTCAGAGTCACAGTCTCTCCTTTGAAGACGACGGTCCATGGAGGGTGGAGGGAGATCACGGGTTTGGATGCAGCTTCTGAGGAAGGAAGAGACAGAGCCTGAGATGGAGACACCTGTGGTCCCTGCCACGGTCATCTGTGTGGGACAGATGTGAGCCCCAGCCTGGGGGATCCCTGGGAAAGGCCCCTGGGAAGGTCAGAGGTCAGTGATTGCTCACAGCTGTCTGTTTCCTGGAGCCCCCAGGGGATGGCAATGAGAGAAGTTATCTCAAGCAGACAAGTAAGCAGCAGGCTTCACTGCCAAATGTCAATGGGAGAAGTGGCCAGTTGGCAGGCCGCCCCTGCCCCGCTACCTCATCACATTCACCGACTCATTGAGACCTTCCAGGGAGCTGTGCACGTCACAGGTTTGCACTTTCTCTAACAGGATAAATCATACTTTCTGAAGGTTTTGGCACAGAGTAAAGCTTGAGAGATTAACTTGTCTAACACCTTCATTTCACGGACGCTGATTCAGATGCCCAGAAACTCTTGTCATAGCTAATTGTGGCAGAGCAAGGAAAGGACAGGTCATTTGCTGGAATCCAGGAGTGAGCCAGGCAAGGATGAAATCCCGGGGTAGCTTTCAGTAGATTTTGGGCAAGGAGACAGATCTTCCTTGCCATTCGTGGATCCTCAAATATTCAGGACATTCTCTGACCCAAGACAATGCAGATGAGAGTCAGAACTAAGAAAATGTGTGATACAGAGACTATTTCTCTCCCAAATCCATTTTTTCGGGTTCATTTCTTCCTTTTGAGGGTGCAGTTGTTGGATGTTCTTCTGCACACATTTCCTGGAGGATTTTACTTCTAAATGTGTAGAGAATGTAATATTCCTGCTGGCGTCTTCACGGTGCAGTGTTTTCAGAGAAGTGTTTCTAGCCTGTTGATTGGAGAAAACCTTACCCCAAGTCCTGCACGTTTGCCATGGAGTTGAGGACATCTTATATGGTCAAGTGGGGTCCATCTGCAATGAGGGTAAGCTCAGGGTCTGCCAAAGGCCCAAAGGTGCTTGTGCTTTTCTTAGTTCTTCCAGGAAGAGTCAGAGGGTAGCCGTGTGGCCGTTCTCCAATAGACCACATAACACTTTCGCATCCCTTCTGGCCTCAGCAAGAACAGGAGATACTAGAGATCCTCAGACAGCCATTGCAGACACCTCATAGTTTTTAGGGAGGCACTCTTATCCAGGGACACTGAAGAGCAAAAAAAAAGGAGAACTTACCAGACTGTGCACTGACAGGAGCTGCAAAATAAACAAATAAGTTAGCCAGAGAGGAACACAGAGCAAGGATTCTTTGGTTTTTCAAAAGTAAAGCCTGTTGTCTTCTCTCTATTTCTTATTTCTTTCAATAGAAATTCATTTAAAAAAACTTAATAGACGTTTGTCAAATGTCTGTCTACTCATCATTCTGCTTGGACTTCTAAAGTGAACAAGAAAATGGTACTTGCTGGCAAGAAGTTGATGGGTGTGGGGAGCAGAAGCGTGAAGCAAAATAATATAGTACAGAATGTAAGTGCAATAGTAGGAATACACATGAGGCATCTTGAGGGTGGAAGAACTACCTCTGCCAGTATGTGGGGGGGGGTGTAAGTGGGTGGGGGGGGTGTAAGTGGGTGGGGGGGGTAGGCTGTGACAGGTACCTGAGAGAGTGATTCTTGAGAAAACTGAATGAAAACATAGGAGTCAGCCAGGCAAAGGTGTCTATACCTGGCAAGAGATGATGGAGAAGGTAATAAAGGCAGAAAGGGCACAGAAGTGAAGAAATAGCACTGGTGTTCAGGGCTGAGATGGAGTTTTGGAAGGAAGGGAGTGAGGAGGAATCAGGTTAGAGAGGCAGGCAAGGCTCACATCATGGGTGGTAAGTCGTTATGGTTTTATTCTAAAAGCTACGGTGTTACCATTATAAACAAGGAGTCATGGAAAGGCTTCAAGTAGGAGAAGACGAGGTTGGAATTTGTAACTTAGATGGAGCGTTAGGACAATGGGCAGACGTCAGTGAGACCGAATGTGAAGCAGAGAGGCTGATTAGAAGGCGGGGCAAGAGATAATGATGTTTAATTTTCTTCAGAGTGTTTATCCAAAATTATTTGCTTGTTTACTTTCCCTTCACTAGAATAGTTCTGTGGGAGCAGAGGGTTTTTATATACATTATATGCCCCCCGGACCTATAACAGTGCCTGGCATTTAAGACATATTCCATAAATATTGAATATTTATTTATTGGGTAACGAATTAAGGAACTAAGTCAGTGAATAGAGATAGGAGATATAGGTTTGACAAATGGGCAACAGGACGACAGAGGAGGCAAAGTTAGCAAGTTTATAGACTTGTTAAACATTCCAGGTCAGGGACAGTTTGTTTATTCAACAGCAAGTTTTAAATCCCGACTGTGTGCCAGGGACTGGATGAGGGGACAAAGGAGACCCAGCAGTGAGCAAGAGAAATACTGTCCCCTCCCCACATGAGCCTGATGGAGAGAAGTAATCCAGGCCTACATGTCTTATGGAGAACAAAGGATTATTTTCCATTACCCAAATATCTTGGTCACCATGCACTTTGTATTGTTTTAAATGTAGCGAAAACTTTTCTGAGTATATTCTATGTGGTAGATGTTTACATGTATTATAATAGGTAATCTTGTCAATATCTCTATCAAGCAAGTTCTATGATTATCCCTATTTTACAGGCTGTGGACTGGTTTAAGTAGCCAGTAGGCAGCAGAATGGAGTTTTGGGCTATTTGTCTGAACACATCCTATTTGACCCCAGAGCATGTGCTCCAGGCCATCACCCTATCCTGTCCCTGTGTGTTGGCACAACACTGGGATGTGCTTCCTATTTCTGGAGAGTTTCATGCAGCTTCCAACTATGGGGTCTTTTCCCTGACGTTGGGCCCCACCGCACCTCCACCTTCTCTGGCTCCTGCTGTCCCTCTGTCTCCTGGAGGCATCACCAGTTCCTTGGCTTACAGTGTACTGTCTGCACCACCATTGGTAACTTTGGACATTTATTTACCTGGGATCTCGTTAGGTGATTGTTTCTTGTACACTGGATTTGCTGGAGGCCATTTATTTATTTAAAGTTTATTTATTTTGAGAGTGCAGGAGTGGGAGAGGGGAAGGAGAGGGAGAGAGAGAATCCCAAGCAGGTTCTGTGCTGTAAGCACAGAGCCTGATATAGGGCCTGAACTACTGAACCATGAGGCCGAAATCAAGAGTCAGATGTTTAACTGACTAGGCCAGCCAGATGCCCCTGAAGGCTCTTATATATCACGAGCTTCCTGAGCACAGAAATGTCACCTCCCATGCTTTCCCATCATTCTTAGCACCTAGGCCAGTGCTGTGTGTGTTACTAAAATTTTTGTTAAATGAATAAATATTTTATTTGAATATTTTCAACGTTGGTAAAAACAAACCCATTTATATGTGTAAATTGATAGAAACTGAAACACACCCACAGATGCAATTAGAGTGTCATGTACTAGAAATGACACGAGTAAGATGATGGAATAGGAATTCTCCAACCTGTGTCCCCCACAGAAATCTTTGGCAACCATCCATAGATAAAAGTTTTGGGACCTGGATAGGAGATTGCACAAAACCATTGGAGCCCAAGACCAAAGAGGATCACTTTGAAAAGGCAAGCACATGCCCTGGTAGAAGACTCACTGACTGCAAGCCCACCTGCAGAGCTAGAGCTGCCTCATCTTTCTGTGGACTCAATCAAGTCTCGTTTGTTCATGGTCTTTCCTATAGATCCTACTCCCAAGAGACTCAAGAGGAACCATCCCCTTCTATGCCCTGGTCGCATGGCCCACTGATCTCAGACCCAACTCTTGTTGCTGAAGTAATCTTGTGACCCCAGCTCCATTGCCATTCTACTGGAGTCTAGAGGTAGTCTTGGCCATCTAGGAATGAGCCTAACAACTCAGTGGGAGAATACTCGAGGACCCAGCATAAATCAGATCCATTCATGCCGCTGGCAATGGGCTTGCCAACTGTGGACCCAACTGCAGACCCAGCAACATCCATGAGACCCAGCTCCAGCTCTGTTCAACCATGAACTTGGAGGCAGCCTTATAATTCCAGGGAATCAGCAGAAGGTATTTACCTGCCAAAGCCAGTTTGTGAAGGTAACAGCTCTTCTAAGTAGACAGACACCAATGCAGAGTTACACTGATCATGAAAAGTCAGGCAAATATGGCAGCATCAATGGAAACTAATAAAGCTCCAGCAACTGATCCTAAAGGAAAGGAGACCCATGAACTACTTGACACAGAAGTCAAAATAATAGTCTTAAGGAAGCTCGGTGAGCTCTAAGAGGACACAGCTAAATGAAATCGGGAAAATAATACACAAACAAAATGAGAAGTTTAACAAATAAATAGAAAACATGTAAAGAATCAAACAGAAGTCTTGGCATAAAGAATACAATGACTGAACCAAAAAAATTCAATAGAGACCTACGACAGCATAATTGATCATTCAGGAGAAAGGATGAGCAAAACTTGAAGACAGCCCATTTGAAATTACCCAGTTAGAAGAAAAAGAAAAAATGAAAAAGAGCAAAAAAAGCTTGGATGACTTATGGGAAAACAATAAGTGAATCCATATACATATTAGTAAAGTCCCAGAAGGAGCTGAGAATAAGAACAGAAAGATTATTTAAAGACATAAGGACTGAAAACCTCCCAAATGTGGGGAGAAAAATCTATATCCAGATTCATGGTTCCCAAATAACCCCAAATAGGCTGAACAGAAGGTCTAACTAAACCAAGGCATGTTATACTCGAATTCTCAAAGTCAAAGACAAGGAGAGTTTTGAAATCAGTAAGAGAAAAATGATTCATCAAGGAGCCTCATACAAAGAAACCCCCATAAGATTTATAGTTAATTTCTTTAGCAATATTGTAGGCCAAGGTAGAATGGGGTCGTATAGTCAAAACACTGAAAGGAAAAAAAAAAAAAAAAAGCTCTGCCAGTCAAAATACCATACCCTGCAAAATGAAAGGGAGTTAAAGACTTTCTAAGACAGGGGCTCCTGGGTGGCTCAGCTGGTTAAGCACCTGACTTCAGCTCAGGTCATGATCTTGTAGTTTGTGAGTTTGAGTCCCACGTTGGGCTCTGTACTGACAGCGTAGAGCCTGCTTGGGATTCTCTGTCTCCCTTTCTCTCTCTGCCCCTCCCCTGCTCATGCTTTTTCTCTCTCTCAAAAGTAAATAAATAACGTTTTTAAAAAGGACTTTTTGAGACAAAAGCTTGGGGAATTAATCACCACTAGACCTGCCTTGTAAGAAAAGCAAAAGAGTTCCTCATGGGCACAAAAGCCAGGACACTAATTAGGAATATCAAAACACACAGAAGTATAAAACTCTCTGGTGAAGGTAAATATATAGTCCAATTCAGAATCTCTAAATGTGGTGCCCTAGTCCATTCAGTCTGCTATGATGAAAATACCATCGTGGATGACTTATAAACAAGAGAAATTTCTTTCTCACAGTTCTGGAGGCTGGAAAGGGCAATGTTAGTTAAGACACCAGCAGATTCATCTCTGGTGAGGACCTGCTTCATCATCAACAGCCATCTTCTCATGTAACAGCAGAAGGGTGAGAGAGCTCTCTCTATGGCCTCTTTAATAAGGGTACTAATCTCATTGCCCCACAGAGCCCTAAAGACTTAATCACCTCCCAAGACCTCATCATCTCCTAATACTACCACCTGGCAAGTCAGAATTTTAACATATGAATATTTGGGGGCACATATATTCAGACAATAGCATACTGTGTGGTGAAATATAATCATTTTTAACTGTAGTATAAGTTTAAAAAGACAAAAGTATTAAAATAACAATAGCTACAATCATTTGTTAATGTATACAGAATATAAAAATAAGGAGATTGTGACATTAATAACTAAATGTGGGCAGGGAGAAGAAAAAGGTAGGTTTTATATATGATAGAAATAAATTTCTTAGCTTAATGGACTGTTATAACTACAAGATGTTTTATATAAGCCTCATGGAAATCACACACACACACACACACTATAGTAGATCCATGAAAGATAAAAAGAGAGAAGTTAAAGCATACCACTACGAAAAATCATCAAATCACAGAGGAAGACAATGGGAGAGGAAGAAAGAAAAAAAGAAACTAAAAAAATAGTTGGAAAACAATGAACAAAATGGCAATAGTAAGTCCTTAGCTATCAATAACTGCTTTTAATGTAAAAGGACTGAACTTTCCAATAGCTGAGTGAATTAAAAAAATCCAACTATATGGTGCCTATAAGATACATTTTACATTTAGGGGCACACATAAGCTCAAAGTGAAAGGATGGAAACTATAGTCCATGCAAATGGTAACTGAAAGAGAACAGGAGCGACTCTACTTTTATCAGACAAAATAGGCTTTAAGTAAAAAATTGTAACAAGAGACAAAGTTACTATACAGTGAAAAAGTGGAATTCCCCAGGGGGTTATACAATCATAAATATACATGCACCCCATATGAAAGCACCTAAATGTACAAGACAAATAACAGAACTGAAATAAGAAATAGGTAACAATACAATAGTAGTAGGGGCTTTAATACCCCATTTTCAACAATGCGTAGATTATTCAGACAGAAAATCAATAAGGAAATGGCAGACTTGTATAATATTCTAGACCAAGAGTGTGTGTACCTAATATATACACTTACTATGGGATATAGCAAAGCAGTTCTAAGAGAGAAGTTAATAGTGATAAATGCCTACAGTAAGAAAAAGATAAAGCCCCCAAATTAAGCAAAATTCCCTGTAACGTTACACCTCAAGAAGCCCAAATTTGGCTGAAGAAAGGAAATAATAAAAATTAGAGAAAAAATAAATAGAAGATAAAAAACAATAGACAAGAACAACAAAACTTAGAACTATGTTTTAAAAAAATAAGCTAAATAGACAAATCTTTAAGTAGACATAGAAAAAAAAGAGAGAAGACTCAACTAAAATCAGAAATAAGAGGAGTCATTCCAGGTGATACCACAGAAATATTAAAGACTACTATGAATAGCATACACCAACAAACTGAATAACTTAGAAGAAATCAATAAAGTTCTAGAAACATGCAACCTACCAAGACTGGATGGATCATGAAGAAATAGAAAATCCGAACTGACCGATAACAAGTAAGGAGATTTAATGGTTAATCAACCCCCCCCTTCCCATGAAGAAATCAGATGACTTTACTGGTGAGTTCTACTAAACATTTAAACAATTAACTCCAAACCATTTCAAAGTCTTCCAAAAAAATGGAGAGGAGAGAACATACTTGCAAATACACTTTGTGAGGCCAGCCAAACAAGCAATCTATAAGAAAACAAAATTACAGGCCATGATCTCTGATACATGTAAGTTTAAAACAATTCTAAAATGGAAAGCTAGCAAACAGATTTCAACAGTATATTAAGAGTCAGGTGAGATTTATCCCCGGGATGACCCAATGTATGCAAGGCAATAAATGTGATACACTACATTAATAGAATGAATGCTAAAAGTCATCAGATCATCTGGGGGCGCCTGAGCAGCTTAGTCGGTTAAACGCCTGACTTTGGCTCAGGTTATGATCTCCTGTCCATGAGTTTGAGCCCCGCGTCTGACTTTGGCTCAAGTTATGATCTGTCCATGAGTTTGAGCCCCTTGTCGAGCTCTGTGCTGACAGCTCAGAGCCTAGTGCCTGCTTCCAATTCTGTGCCTCCCTCTCTGCCCCTCCTCCACTCCCATACTGTCTGTCTCTGTCTCTCAAAAACAAACGTTAAAATTTTTTTAAAAAAGTCATAGGATCATCTCAATAAATGTATAAAAATATTTCACAAAATTCAAGATGCTTTCGTGGCATAAAGAAAACTCTCGACAAATTATGTCTCCAAGGAAAGTATCTCAACACAGTAAAAGTCGTATGTGAGGAACTTACAAGTAACATCACAGTTAATGATGAGAAGCTAAAAGCTTTTCCTTTCAGATAAGGAAAAAAGCAAGAATGCTCACTCTTGCCATTTTTATTCAATATAGTCCTGGAAGTCCTAGCCAGAATCATCAGGCAAGAAAAGGAAGTAAAATATATCCAAATCACAAAGGAAGAAGTAAAGTTGTCTCTGTTTGCAGGTGATATTATCTTATCTTTGGAAAACCCTCAAGACTCCACCAAAAAGCTGTTAGAACTGATAAACAGTTCAGTACAGTTGTGAGACACGCAGGCAATACACAGAAACGAGTTACATTTTCATATGCTAGCAACAAACTATTGGAAAAAAGAGGAAAACAACCCCACTTACATTAGCATCAACAAGAATAAAATACTTAGGAATAAATTTAACCAAGGAAGTGAAAAATCTCTATGCTGAAAATTACAAAACATTGGAAGAAATGAATGAAAACACAAATAAATATAAAGACATCCTATGTTTATGGCTTGGGACAATTAATATGTTAAAACGTCCACATTATCGAAGCAATCTATGGATTCGATGCAATCCCTGTCAAAATTCCAATGGCGTTTTTCACAGAAATAGAAAGAAGGATCTTTAAAATTCATATGGGGCCACAAAAGACACTGAAAATCCAAGTAATACTGAACAAAAACAAAACCGGAGACATCATCCTTCTTGACTTAAACCATATTATAAAGATGTAGTCATCCTACACCGACACAAAAGCAGACATAGAGAGAGATGAAACAGAACTGAGGACCCGGAAAGAAACCCACACATTTACAGCTGACTGGCCTTCAACAAGAGTGCTAAGAACGCACAATGGGGAAAGAATAGTCTCTTTTGTAGAATGTGCTGTTTTTATTTGTACAAAAATAAACTCAAAGTATATTAATGACTTACAACTGTGAAGTTCCCCAAACTGTGAAACTGCCAGAAGAAAACACAGGTAGAAAGCTTCTTGGCATTGGCCTGGGACACAATTTTTTGGATATGGCCCCAAAAGCACAGGGAACAAAAGCAAAATAGACAAATGGGATTGTATCGAAGTAAAAGGCTTTTGTACAGGAAAGGAAACAATCAACCTCACAACGAGGTAATCTACAGAATGGGAGAAAATATTTGTAAGCCATGCATCTGATAAGGAGTTAATATCTACAATGTATAAGGCACTCTAACAAATCAACAACAAGAAAACAAACAGCCTCACGGAAAACCAGGCAAAGACCTGAACCGATATTCTCAATAGAAGATGTACAAATGGTCAATAAGTACCTGAAAAGAAGCTCCACATCCCTCATCATCGGGGAAATGCAAATCAAAACCACAATGACATGTCACATCACACCTGTCAGAGTGATTATTATCATAAAGACAAAAGATAACAAGCACTGGTTAGGAAGTGGAGAAAAGCAAACCCTTATTCACTGTTGGTGAGAACACACTTGGTAAAGCCATTATGCAAAAACAGTATGGAGGTCCCTTAAACAATTAAAAATAAAACTATCATACGATCAGGCAATCTCATTCCTGGGTACATAACCAATGGAAATGATATGAGTATCTTTTTTAAAAATCCGTTTTCTCTTAAGTTTATTTATTTTGTGAGAGAAAGAAAGAGAGGGTGGGGGAGGGACAGAGAGAGGGTGGGGGAGAGACAGAGCGAGAGGGTGCTTAACCTACTGAGCCACCAGATACCCCAAAAATGATACCAGCATCTTGAAGAGACACCTGTTTTCATCCCCACGTTCACTGCCACATTCTTTACAATAGCCAGGATATGGAAACAATCCAAATATCTACCAACCAATGAATGATAAAGGAAATATGACATATATGTGTATATAGAATGGACTATAATGCAGCCTCAAAAAGAAGGAAATCTTTCCAGTATAACAACATGGATGAATCTGGAAGAAGCTATGCTAAGTGACATAAGCCAGACACACAGAAAGGTGAAAGCTGTATGACCTCACTTTTGTGTGGAGTCTAAAAAAGTTGAACTCACAGAAGCAGAGAATAAAATGGTATTTCCCAGCTGGTAGGGGAACTGGGGAGATGTGGATCCAAGGAAACAAACTTTCATTTGTGAGATAAATAAATCCTGGAGATCTAATTCCCACCATGGTGACCATAGTTAATAATAACATACACCTGAAATTTGCAGGGAGGGTAGATCCTGACAGTGAGTTCTTACCACATAGTCACACAAAAGCTGAAGTGAAAAGATAGAAATGTTAATTAGCTCAGTTGTGGTAATTATGTTAATAGTATATGGATATCAAAACATCATCTTTGACATATTAAATATGTACAGTTTTTATTTGCCAATTACACTTCAGTAAACCCCGGGGAAAGTATGTCCTGTGCCCCAGGTTTCCCCCGAGCCTCACTGCCTTCCCTCCGGGTCCCTGCTGTCCCCTTCCCCTGTGATCTTTGTTTGCCCATCACTGCTGGGGTTTGCTGTGGTGTAGGGGAAGGAGACCTCCTTCGTGTTAGAAACCATGCCCTGCTGGGCCCAGAACCAGGATCTGGGCCAGTCATACAAGCAATAGATGGATCTCCTTTGCAGAGAAAAAAAGGAAGTTCTCTGAATAAGACAATAGGAACAAGCACACAGAATACATTTTCTGGAGTTCATGAAGTAAGATTTATTGCAGAAAAACAACAAGTAGCTCCTTCACTGTGTGGTCAACGGGTTTCCTTCTCTGTAAGGGTGAAGGTTTATCCCAGCCCCCTCCACTCCTTCAGACCCAAGGGAGAAGCCCCTGAGCTGGGTGGTGAGTCCCAAGAACACAATCTCCCCTCGCAGGAGAGAACGTCCGAGCCCCATGAAAGGGCTGGCCCCAGGGTGGAGAGAAAGGCTGTCCCCGTCCCACCCGGGGCCCACACTGGGCACCTGTACTCACCCAGGACCAGCACTGTCACCCACAGCAGCATGAAGGCCTGGCCTGCCCTGGGCTGGGGCCAGATGAGGGTTTTTCTCAGGAGGAACAGGGCTGGTTTTGATCTTGGAGCAGCGCACCTCCGCAGCAGCCCCGAGGAGCTCATCTGAGAAAGTTCTTTTTCGAAGAGCAGGATGCCTTAGTGAATTAGAAAAAAGGAAGTGGCACTAGCCTTCTTTGACTACGAATGAAAATGTTCTGCCCTATGGCCAGAGTGAGAAAATAAATTCTAGGCTTAAAACACACACACACACACACACACACGCACACGCATCCTTGACCTCACATTTCGAATGCTGGGAAATTACCTTAAGGAAAGTATGTGCAAATTGTCCAAGAGAATGTTTACAGCACTGTCATTCATAATCACCCAAACACTGAAAGCACATGAAAGATCATGAGTACGGGACTGTGGATGAAGATTTTGTACATCTCTTCATTGGTATACGATGCAGCCGTTATGAATGAAATCGACCCACACAGAGAGGCTGGCAGCACGCTGGTGAGTTGGAAGACAGAAGCAGCAGCAGTGGCCCAGCCGGGTAGACGTGAAAAATAGAACACGTGTGTACGAGCTGATACAAATATATTATTTTTTCCCCTGGAAAATATACCTAAAATAGTAGTTACATTTATAAGAACTGTGGATGGAAAGGAAATATTTTGTTTTATGCCTTTCTTTACCGTTTTATTTTTTTAAATGTTTACTTATTTTGAGAGAGAGAGAGAGAGAGAGAGAGAGAGCACAAATGGGGGAGGAGCAGAGAGAGAGGGAGAGAGAGGATTCCAAGCAGGCTTTGCTCTGTCAGCACGGAACCCAATGTGGGGCTCGATCCCACGAACCGTGAGATCATGACCTGAGCCAAAATCCAGAGTCAGATGCCTAAGAGAATGAGCCACCCAGGCGTGCCTATACTGTTTGCTTTTTAAATAATTACTATGTTAGTCTTTTGCTTTGATAACTTTCTAGTCAAGTTTCCATCCTGGCATACTGGGCAACAAAGATCCTTAGGACATTAGTGACGTGAGGAATACCACTTTCTTCCTTTCAAATAATGTTTCTCACCCTTTGTTTGTTTGTTTGCTTTTCTTGGATTCACACCTCAGTCCTCCCAAGGGGACATCTAATTACACGTGGACAACTGCCTATCGCCTTACATACAGGATGCTACTTCTGACCTGCAGCACTGGGAGACAAGAGAAGCATATTAGGGCAAATAGAGATTAATCCACATCAGCCCAGGAAGACCTCACGGCGAGCCAGGAGGCTCTCCATGCTTTTGGATACAAAAAGCGCTGCTGTGTATATTCTTGGAGAGATCTCCTGGTGCGCACATGCACACACATTTCTACTGGGTAAACTCCTGGGAGTGGAGTCCGAGGCTCCCAAGGCTTGAGTACATTTTTAGAAGGTACTGCTAAATTGTTTTCCAAAGTGGTGTGCTAATGCACACCCCTTTGACCTATGTGTGTGAGTTCTTGTCCCTCTAAATCCTTGCTGATACTGGTATCATACGCAGTCCTGTAAATTTTAGTCCTTCTGCTGGGATGATCTCAGTGTGGTTTCTTTGGTGTTTCCCTGGTGAATTGGTGTGTCCCTGGTGAGTTGGTGTGCCCCTGGTGAGTTGGTGTGTCCTTGGTGATTTGGTGTTTCCCTGGTGAGTTGGTGTGTCCCTGGTGAGTTGGTGTGTCCCTGGTGAGTTGGTGTGCCCCTGGTGAATTGGTGTTTCCCTGGTGAATTGGTGTCCCTGGTGAGTTGATGTGTTCCTGGTGAATTTTGCAGTTGAGAATCTTTCATATTTAATTGGCGATTTAAATATTCTTTTTTATGTGAAATCTCTTTTCCAGTCCTTCTCCCTTTTTCTAGTTTTTCTGTCTTTCTCATTCTTTTAAAGCTCATTTTGTGGAGCTTTTAAAGCTGGATATAGATCCTTTTCCAGATATTATATTGCGAACGTCTTCCTCTGTCTGTGGCTTGCCTCTTCACTCTTTGATAGAGCCTTTGATGAATCACTGCCATAACTCTGGTGGTCCATTTATCAGTCTTTTCCTTTATGGTCAGAGCTTTTTCTGTCTCTTCCAGGAAATTTTGTCTGGTCCAAGCTCTTGAAACTATTCTCTTAAGTTATATTTTAGAAGCTGTATTTATTTTACTTTTACTTTGTATCTATAGTATCATTGGAATTGACTTCTACGTATAAGTAGGGGTTTATATTCACTTACAGAGGGCCACTTTGCCTGGTTATCATATTTAATGAAAATCCAAGCTTTCTGCAGCACCATGCATTTTCACCCCTCTTGTAAAACAAACAGTTATGCAGGTCTGCTTCTGGAAAACTCTGTTCTTGTCCAGTTGTCTGTTTATTCTCATGCCAGAACCACAATGTCCTAATTGTTGCCTTTTTTTTTTAATTTGAGAGAGAGAGAACGTGCGCACTTGCACAAGGGAAAGGGCAGAAGGAGAGAGAGAATCTCAAGTAGGCTCCTCCATCAGGGCAGAGCTTGACATGGGGCTTAATCCCACTACCCTGGAATCATGACCTGAGCCGAAACCAGGAGCCACCTAGGTGCCCTTACTGTTGCTTTTTGATGAGTCATGTTATCTAATAGTTTGTCACACAGTTTTATTCTTCCTCAAACATTTTTTGGCTGTTTTCAGCTCTATGTTTTTCTGTGGATTTAAAAATCAACTTGTGAATTCCTACTCCTATCTTCTCAAAAGGCAAAACAAAAACAAAAACCTGCTGAATTTTTAGTGCTTGGAATTATGCTGACTTGGTAAGTCAATTCATAGAAATTAGCATGGAGTAAATCTTCGAATCTGTAAGCATGGAATACCTCTCCACTTATAGAGGTCAGCTTGAATTTCTCTCAATAATTTTCTGTAACTTTCTTGTAGAATTAGATTTTTTTGTTAGGCGTATTCCTAAGTAGTTGATATATATATTTGATATTGTTTTTTTTGAAATGTTTTATTTATTTCTAGGAGAGAGAGAGAGAGACAGCGTGAGCAGGGGAGGGTCAGAGAGAGAGGGAGTCACAGACTGAAATAGGCTCCAGGCTCTGAGCTGGCAGTCAGCCCAGAGCCCGATGCGGGGCTCGAACCCACGAACCGTGAGATCATGACCTAAGCGAAAGTCGGACACTTAACCGACTAAGCCACCCAGGCGCCCCTATTTGATATTGTTTTAAGTGATATCATTAAAAGTTTTTTCGAAATATTCATTGTTGGCATATAACTACAACTTTTTTTCTGAATTTCTGTCAATTACTGAGAGAATTATGTTAAAGTGTCCCACTATAATTCTGAATTGGTCTATTTCTTTTTTAATTTCTGTCCATTTTTTAATTTTATAATTTGAAGTTGTTTTATGGGTACATATACATTTAGAATTATATAATTTATGTAATTATATAATTTATTTATATTTATATAATTTATGTTACTTATAATTTATATTTATATAATTTATATAATTATTTCTTCCCGGTGGTTTGGCACCCTTATCGCTATTAAATGTCTTTATATGTTTCTAACCTGAGAACCCATTGGAGGGGGCCCGTCTACCTTTGGACCTGATTTAGATGATCGAATCTGAATCCGGTAACACTATCCTGTGATTGGATGAGTATTTGGGGAGTCTCTGGAGGTGATGGGCTTATGTTTCGTGTAAGAAGGATGTAAATATTTGTGGCTAGAGTGTGGACGCCTCCTAAGAAACAATTATTGTATCTGTATGTGCATTCTTCTCTTCCCATCGAAAGTTCGTTGTATATCCTTTATGCTTGAATCTGGCCGACCAGTAGAACATGGAAGAAGCAAAGCTGCGCATTTTTTGGGCCTGGCCCTTCAGAGGCCTGGCAATGTTTGTTTTTATTATCGTGGAGCCCCGAACTACCATGTATGAAGTCTGACCGCCCTACTGGACAGTCCCATCAGGGGGAGCTGCTCCAGCCTCTTAGACCCGGCCCCGGACATGCGAATTAAGCCAACTTAACACGTGCTTCCACCCGGCTGCATTCCTAGATGAATATCATGACTTGAGGGACCCCAGCTGACCCAGGTGCACACACAACCCACAGAATCATTGGTGTTTTAAGCCACGAGGTTTCTATGCAGCAAATAGGTAGCTGAGATTGGCTTAGCTAGTATCTTCCTTAGGATTGCATTTTAATCATTAAGTAATAATTCATTTATCCCTAATACTTCCTTCGTCTTCAAGTTTATTTTTCTGATTAGATCAAGCTTGTTAATCATGTCATTCAAATCTGCATCCTTCCTAATTTTCATCTCCCTCAGCTTCTGCGCTTTATGCATGTGTGTTTTAATTTTACCTTATTCTTTCCAATTTTTTTTTTAATTTCTCTTGGCCATTATTTAGAGAGTGCTGGTACAAAGCGGTGAAGCCCGTGTCTTCATCCCCCTTTGGGGTTTCTTGGTGACTGAAAGAGTCTGCTCCCAACCCTACTGGATGTGTAACTTGAGTTGAAAATTAACTTTTATGGTGCAGTGTAGCGAATATATAGAATGATGATGAAAAACCTAGCTATGAAACTATCTTGAACTGATGGTTTTTCACAAGGGTGTTCCTTGGCAATGGTCTAAATTTCTGCCAAGATACTTCATCCGCTCAGACTTCCTTCCATAACTCTGGACGTTTTTATTTTTATGTATTTTTCCTGGTTTTTATTTCCTGGCATTTACTTATTCTTTATTTTAAAATAACCAGCTCTTGAATTTAGTTACAGTACTTTTTCTTGTTTTGTAATTTATAAAGTTTTGCTTTTCTTAGATTTTTTTTGTTTTCTTCAAATTGTTAAATGAAATGTTTATTTTAATTTTTTCCTGTTTAGCAATATGAATATTCAAGGCTGTGGGGGTTTTTTGTGTGTGCTTCATCCATAGTTTGTAAGTTCTGATACAGTCTTTTCATTACAGCATATTCTACATAGTTTACAATTTCAGTTTTGATTTTGTCTTTGAAACAGGAATTTTTAGAGTTTTCAAATATCTAGACAGTAGATTTTTCTTTTTCTCTTTTCGTTATTATTAATGACATTTTGTTCATCATTTCATGGTAATCCAAGAATATGGTGTGTGTATATCTTACTTTCTGGAATTTAT